CCCAGATTCACGAAAGCACTTACGAACCTGTACATCTTTTCTCAATCTTTGGCGGCTTTGTTTCCAATTATTAAACAATTAATGAGCTCCGAAGCACCAGGAGGTTGTTTATAACAATAACAACAGTTGATTGGCAAGTTTTCATGCTTGTAAACTGTTTAATAAATGTAACCAAAGCCGTCAAAGATTGAGGAAAGATGTACACGTTCGTAAGTACTTGCGTAAGTGCTTTCGTGAATCTGGCCCCTGAGTGGAATGCACCAAGCAAAATATAATTGTAACTTTGGATCCCTAGATTCATTAAACAATCGAAGCTTTGTTAGATTTGCGCTCTTGATAACATGGAAGAAAATTCAAACTCATTTAGATTTTGAAAATTGAAAGAAGTACAAATATCTGAGAATGAGGCAAACTTTGGCTGGAATGTGGAACCGGTTGGACTAGTTTACTCCACAGGTAAACCTTCCACTAATGCTCCAGCGACTGGCGTTAGTTTACATATAACATGGTTTCTAAGTGATCTTTAATTTCCACAGTTCCTTGCAACACACATACCAAACCATAATTTAATTATAAAATGCTGAGGAAATGTAATGTGTATAAGTAGTTGATAAGTTATCCACAGGGGCGCTCCAGGACGATGACGTCACTTGCCACAAGTGATGATCTCACCAGTGATGTCATCGATGAAGTCATCACTCAGTTCACACGGTGAACTGTTTTATCTATTATCAAAGTCTTAATAAACAAAGAATGTAATTTAATTGAAAACAAAACTATCTGTTATTTTGTTCTAAAAGTCTTTTTACATTACAATTTGCTTAAATATTTCACTAAATGCTTGATATATTATCATTTGAAAAAATATCTACCTGCCAACTGTTGCAGATTAAATATTTGAACTTAGTTTCTCATTTAAAATAATATATAAACATTATTCTGCTGTGTGCCGGTGCATTAAACAATATAAAACACGATATAACTCTGGTTTAATTTCTTTATATTGAAAATTTTCCAGATATATATATAAATGTTAAGATTAACTGCTTATTGTAGCTTGTAAATTGTTAAGATGTCTTGGGTGCACAGACACCCTTGGGAGCCCCTGGTCACGTGCTACACAAGACCAGTCGACAAAGCTCATTTTCTGTTCATTAAAATATATATTATTAGGTTAGGATGTATTATAGTAGGTTAGGCTGTTTGGTTTGTTTGGGCTAGGCTGTGTTTGGTTTGGTAAGGTTAGGTAGGTCACTTACGAAACCTGTGCATCTTTCGTCGATCACGGCAGCTTAGTTTATATTTGTGAAACAGTTTATGAGCTCAGAAGCCCTGTGATGTCTTTTTAATAATAATAACCTTAAGTTGTGAAATTTCCAAGCTTGTAAATTCTTTAATAAATACAGACTAAGCCTCCAAGATTGAGGAATGATGCAGAGGTTTCGTAGGAGGATATGGAATCGCCTGATCTAGGAATGCAGAATAAGCAAACCCTCCTCCTAATAGCACGTCGCATTTTTGACGTATACATTACCTAAGGTCTAATTGGTCAGGCCTAAAAGGTCAGGGGCGCCTGACAGCTGGGTGGACAGAGCTTCGAATTCGTAGTCCTGAGGTTCCGGGTTCGATCCCCGGTGGAGGTGGAGACAAATGGGCAAAATGTTTCTTTCACCCAGATGCCGCCTGTTACCTAGCAGTAAATAGGTACCTGAGAGTTAGACAGCTGCTTCGGGCTGCTTCCTGGGGGTGGAGGCCTGGTCGAGGACCGGGCCGCGGGGACACTAAGCCCCGAAATCATCTCAAGATAACCTAACCTAACCTTAGGCCAAGGATAAGGCGGCCAAAAACTGTCGTGTTAGAAAATTGGTCGACACTGTCAACCGACAAAATTGACACTGTCCCGTTTTCTGTTGGTGGGTCGTCTGGTAGGTTAGGATAAGGCACGTTAGTACGACCGTTTGTTGACGTTGGAAACGTTGGCGATAACGGCCTGGAATAAGACGTTGTCAAGGGCACCCTGAGGGGCACGTTGACGGCCTACGTGTTGAAGTATTACTAAAATGCACCAGGAACGTGTCTTGGCGCACAAGTGTCATCGACCAGTTTTTACAACAGTGTTCTTAATTCTTAATAAATGTTCAAGGTGAGGTCACTGGTGAAAGGATTGTCTGACTTGTGTTTAATGAAGACCGCGGTTCAAGTCCACGCTCGACTAGTGGATTACTTATATTTATTAATGCTCGTGTTGAAAAGCTTGTTAACAGACACTGCTAAGCAATGCTAATAAAATGGAAAGTGCTTTGTGTAAAACCTGTTTCTATATTTTATACACTAGATGTGATCAAATCGTGACCAGACATAATGTCACCATGGTTGCTGAAATATTTTGTCACCCTCGAGACTTCTGTCACCTTTGTCACGCTCAAGACAGGAAACTTTCCAGAATTATGGAAAAAGGCAACTGTAGTCCCAATATTACAAAAAAGGGATACATAGCAGGCAATATATTACAGACCAATGTCACTGACACGTACCCCGATTAAAGTGCTGGAGAAAGTAATGAGGCAGAAAGTGGGTACCTAGAGAGGGCCAACTGTGTAAGGAAAGGCTCCATAGGTTTATAAAGGGTAAATGGTGCCTCACAAGTTTGAGTTCTATGACAGAGATGATCCTTTTGAAGACATATTGACACTAAAGTACTTAAGGAATTTCCTGTCCCATTTTTTCCTTCGTGATCAGACGCTGTCTCATAATAAATAAATAAATAAATATCTCCTGTCCATCCACTAGTTAACCTACTTTCTGAGGTGTTCACCATCCTAAAGTAGCCAAAAACTAGGTGAATATGTCCTCTTACGGAAATCAGTGTTATAAAAGCCCTTAACCTATCTCAATAACCTACAGTGGCAACACGCCTCTCTTCCAGTAAGACTTGGGGGCCTCGGAGTTTTAACAGCAACACAAATCGCTGTACCAGCCTTCCCTTCCTCCTCCTCCGCATCCGACAACTGTGCCACCGAGTGGGCCTCTCGTGCTGGCCAATCACTTCACCACCATCAAAAGTCCACAAACAATCCAGCTGGGATGGCCCCATTGATGTAGACCAAGTTGCTGCAGAGTATTTACCTGGTTGATGGGGTCCTGGGAGTTCTTCTACTCCCCAAGCCCGGCCCGAGGCCAGGCTTAACTAGTGAGAATTTGGTCCACCAGGTTGTTGCTTGCAGCAGCCCGCAGGCCCACATATCCACCACAGCCCGGTTGGTCCGGCACTCTTACTTAGTTGCTGCAACAACACAACACGACATTGCTCGCCTCACAGCAGTAGCAGCCCCACATGCAGGGGAGTTCCTGTTAGCAACCCCAATGTCAGCCACTGGTACACGTCTCACACCACACGCCCCCCGAATTGTATTGGCCCTCCGTCTTGCTGCCTCAATCCACAATAATAGGTGTACTTGTGACAAGGTGGTGGCCGACAGGTACGGCCATCATGGTCTACTCAGACCCCGAGCCTATATGCAACAGAAATATGTAATATGCAAGCTTGTTCACACAAATGTTACTCACGTGGCGACAGGAGCCTACGGCCTGAAAGATATTCCAGCGTGGTCGATGGGGATATAACCAATAGCATCCACAGTATGTCCAGGGAAGTGAACTAGTATATACAGCTGACGAGTCACAATAACGTGGCTGAAGAATAGTGACCAAACCACACTAGGAGAGACGCGATGTTTCGGTCCCTCCTCGAGCGAGTCCATTGAGAACTAGTATATTGTATCAAGTGGATTTTATATGGTTAAACACACTATTAATGCAACAAGAAATATAAAAAATTTAATATATATATATATATATATATATATATATATATATATATATATATATATATATATGTATATATATATATATATATATATATATATATATATATATATATATATATATATATATATATATATATATATATATATATATATATATATATATATATATATATATTAGTATATTTTGGTAGCAGTCTTTCCTGTAGACATATATTATTAAATATGACCGAAAAAGTAAGATTAATAATTCTAACACGAATTTTCTCAATCTTTCGTACATTACGCTTCACTGTTGGAGGTAAATCAAAAATCACTTCTCCAAAATTCATTTTTATTTCTAGTCTGACGCGACACGGGCGCGTTTCGTAAAACTTATTACATTTTCAAAGACTTCACAAATACACAACTGATTAGAACTTGCGTTTCCCTGATTTTATATCTACATTTGAGTGAGGTGGGAAGGGTGATGTGGCATTACATTTGAGTGAGGTGGGAAGGGTGATGTGGCATTAACACAAGACAGAACACTAGGGGATATTAATAGGGTATTAAAAGTATCAACACAAGACAGAACAGAAACAATGGGTATTGAATAGAAGTGTTTGTAGAAAGCCTATTGGTCCATATTTCTTGATGCTTCTATATTGGAGCGGAGTCTTGAGGTGGGTAGAATATAGTTGTGCAATAATTGGCTGTTGATTGCTGGTGTTGACTTCTTGATGTGTAGTGCCTCGCAAACGTCAAGCCGCCTGCTATCGCTGTATCTATCGATGATTTCTGTCGGTTCAGACTAGAAATAAAAATGAATTTTGGAGAAGTGATTTTTGATTTACCTCCAACAGTGAAGCGTAATGTACGAAAGATTGAGAAAATTCGTGTTAGAATTATTAATCTTACTTTTTCGGTCATATTTAATAATATATATATATATATATATATATATATATATATATATATATATATATATATATATATATATATATTTATTTATTTACACACACACACACATAATACACGAGAAACATTTTATTTTGGGTAAGTAGCCCCTATGGTGTGATAGTGTAAACAAAGTCACGTGGGAGCGGACTCAGAATAAGCACAGTATCCATAAAGTAATAATAATAATAATATTAATAATAATTTATTGACAAGAAGGTACAATGGTTTTGTGAGATTACATAAGATTGGTATTTCTACATTCTTGCAAAGCGACTAACAGGCATAACATTTCGGGTAGGTCCTTAATCTAACATATCAGGAAAGATGAACATTAGAACAATAACAAACTGTCTTCAGGCAACACACAGACAATGTTTAAATCCCTGAACATGATAAACATAAACTCACTCCACACATTCTCTTGTGCTATTTACATCCACAGAGTTATTAACCACAGGTGCTTTTTCACTCACAGAGGTATTAACCCATTGAACCGCTTACCCGCCGAAGCCGTAACTGTCAAAACTGTGATGAGTTTTATAATACACTGTACCTGGAAAAGATCATCAAGGCAAATGGTGGAGATCTTCGACAAGCCGCCCTCTTCCTGTCCTCGTCGAGGCCACCAGGGTTAGTTGCCCTCAGGTAAATTAGGTAAATATTGTAGCTTCTGTGGTTTTTCTAAGGTAGTCTTACCTAAGGAAGCAACCGAATTGTTCAGCTCAGAAATAAGCCTTTGTGTAAAGGTGAAAAGCTTCTTTCTGACCAAACCACTCATTTGCTCCCATTATCTCCCATTTTTTTTTTTTTACTTACCTCTTTTACCTGAGGGTCACTAACACTAGTAGCCTCTATGAGAACAGGAAGCCGGTGCCTTGTCAAAGGCTCTCCCCCCCCCCAATTTGCCTTGATGATCCTTTCCAGGTGGATTTTAAAACCTAACAGAGTTTTGGCATTTGCAGCTTCAACAGGTAGACAGTTCCATGGATTTATAACCCTGTGGGTGAAAAAGTATCTATTCTCAGTCCTACATTGAAGTTTGTTGAGTTTGAAACCGTTGCTCCTTGTTTGTTACATTTGATCTTTTGAAGAATGTATCATCCTCCATCTTTTTCAATATTTTAAAAATTTCAATGAGATCTGCCCTGTCATGCCTGGTTTGTAGTACTGTATTGTTAAGCCTGTGGCCCTCAACCATTCTTGATACGAGAGATTGCTTAGCTCTGGAATGTCCTTTGTTGCCTGATGTTGCACTTCTCCTGAGCAACTATGTCTTGCTGAAGATGAGATTTTTGTTCTGATTTTCCTTATAGTGTCTAGGGTTCTAGTTGGATGAATTGTGAGATGTAGGCAGTGACATCTAGTGTTGGTTTCTGGTAGTGGCCATTGGGCCAAGTAGCAGAGTGCTCTTCAGCAGCATCTAACACCGAGTAGTGCTTGGTAAGGGGTTTGATTGTAGAGGAATGATCCTTCTGGAGGTCAGTCCAGACTAGATAGTCTTCTCCAGTGTTTTCCTTGCTCCAGTATGACCTGACAAGGACATTTGAAAAGACCATGCTGGGGTAAAAATTGTTGACCTACCTGACTATATTTAGCCAAGTCCTGTGACTGGGAAATGCAAGGCATTGCCTGAGGGAGCAACTGAATGGCCTACTCATTAAGTTTCCTTCTACACTCAAGATCTTATTTTTAACTTTACTTACAGATGGATGATTCCTGCAGTTTCCAGAAGGCTTGCTGTCTCTGAGACAAGGTAGTACTGTACAAATGAAAAGTCTCACAATGGCTGCCAAAGTTCTAAGATCCAGTGTACAAGAAAACATCTTAAGAATTCAAAAGGCATTCTTGGATGGTGTGAATGCTGTTCAACCACATGAGCTTATTGGAAAATATTTAAAACAAGATACAGATAAGTTGTTCATTAATGGTACACAGTTTGACCTTCAGCAAAATGTGTATGTGGTTGGATTTGGAAAAGCTGTTATTGGAATGCTTCAGCCCATTCAGTTAGCATTGATGACTTCAAAAGGTGAATCTCACCTGAACAGAGGGATCTTAAGTGTTCCATTTGGGATTCAGAGAACACTTGTTAATAAACTTCCTTTGTTACCAAGTGAGACGTCATACATTGAAATTTTGGAAGGTGCCAAAGAAAATATTCCTGATGAAGCTTCATTTGCTGCTTCTAAAAAAATAGTTTCACTAGTGAAGGAATTAGGAAAACAAGATCTTTTATTGGTTTTGATATCAGGCGGAGGCTCGGCTCTCCTGCCGTACCCAGTTCCTCCTCTTACATTAGATGAGAAAAGTGAAATGATTAGATCACTAAGCCATGCAGGAGCATCCATCACTGAGCTCAATACTGTTAGAAAAGTCCTGTCTGTTACAAAGGGAGGGGGATTGGCAAAATTAACCAATGCAAGAATTGTTTCCCTAATTCTGTCAGATATTATCAACAGCCCCATTGACATGATTGCCAGTGGCCCTACTGTACCTAACAGAGATGCTCCTGGAGCTGCTGAGGAGATTCTGAAGAAATACAACATATCAACTCCAGAATGTATCTCAACAATTATTCAGAAGAAAACAATAAATTCTTCGTTGTCACAATTTCCCCATGTTACTAACCTCATCATAGGTAGTAACGAAACAGCTTTGGTAGGTGTTGAAGCTTCAGTAAGGGATGATAGCAACAGCCTCTCATTGGTCCTCACTTCGGCTCTCACCGGTGAAGCCTCTACTGTGGGTAGAAATATAGCGGAGCTAATAGTGGCCATGACTCACATAATGTGTGGCCATCAAAGTGAGCTCTCTGAGCATTTACTCTTGGATTTGTGTGTCAGTGTGGATAAAAGAAAATCCATCACAGAAATCTTAATAAAGAGTTCAGAATTCAAATATCCTATATGGTTAATTTTTGGTGGTGAGACTACTGTTACTGTCAGAGGATCAGGCCGAGGAGGAAGAAATCAAGAAATGGTCCTGTCTACCAGTGTGGCTCTAGAAGAGGTAATAATTTTTCCCATGGAATTTCATAAACTTCTTGAATTGTACCCTCTTTGTCTTTACACAATACAGAATAATATTGTGTTAGTTAAATTATTATGTTTTTGTATTTGTTAATAACTACAGTAGGATCCCAATTTTATGTAAGGAATAAATTTAGAGCATTTGTTCTTTGAAATTATTGAGAGCTTTTATGTCCGAGCCTGACTTGCTCTGCCAGTAGGTGGGTGCTTACTGTAGCATTTCCTCATCATTTGGTTTCCCTCACTTGACAATCCAGTTTTACATGCTAGTATACAAGTTTCAAATTATATTTTAATCTATTAGACCACTCCATTAATACACAATTTTGTTAAACAAAATTACAAGGCAGGAACTTTTATTTATTTATATACAAGAACATACATTGGGTTATCTTGAGGTTATCTTGAGATGATTTCGGGGCTTTTTTAGTGTCCCCGCGGCCCGGTCCTCGACCAGGCCTCCACCCCCAGGAAGCAGCCCGTGACAGCTGACTAACTCCCAGGTACCTATTTACTGCTAGGTAACAGGGGCATTCAGGGTGAAAGAAACTTTGCCCATTTGTTTCTGCCTCGTGCGGGAATCGAACCCGCGCCACAGAATTACCAGTCCTGCGCGCTATCCACCAGGCTACGAGGCCCCGTCCCGTTGGGTTGTGAGAGTATGAAATATTGGGCTTCTTACATTCTTGCAAAGTCAGATGCATAATGATTTGACCAGAAACGTTTTAAGGCCTAATAGTCTATTATGCATTGCTTTTTAATGTGTATGTTGTTCATTTTACAGTACTGTAGCATATTCAGTACATGTACTTCTATTTACATGTACAAAATTCATTGGCTAAAAATATATATTATCTTCCCCTTGAGATCCTTATCATTATATAAAGTGATTCACATTTACACAAGGTCTCTAGAAACATATTTTGACATAAACTCAGGATCCTATGGTACAGTATCTGCGAGTCAGAAGTAATATCAGAGGATGCCAGCATCTCTTATCTCAACCTCTGTGTTTATTACCCCTGGTTATTACTTACAAAATGATGGACTTGTCTCGGGTTGTGTAATTTGTTAAGCAAATCGTGGTCCATTGGTGAGGCGTGCATGTAGGATGACCCCAGGATGCTGGTTTGGTCTCACCAACCTGCTGTTCTTACACTGCATATATCACTGCCCAACACTATTCTTACAGTGCCTGTATCACTGCATGACACTTTTCTTACACTGAACAATCAAGTGGACTCCTGTAGAAAAACCAGAATAGCAAGCTCCATCACAAGTCGAGCCTGGCCTCGGGCCGGGCTTGGGGAGTAGAAGAACTCCCAGAACCCCATCAACCAGGTATCAACCAGGTATCAAGCTAGCAGGGACAAAGAACAGCAAAAAAGTTGCTACTGTGACTCATAGAAGCAGTGCAAACAACCTGATAATGGCAACATCAGCCACAACAGCAGATAACAAGGCAGAATATGAGGTAAACCCAGAAAAGGGACAAAGACCTGTCCAAAAATGCAGAAGAAGACTCCTGCAATGCTAAAGAATGGATGACATCTGTCAGGTGGATGCGAGTCCACCACCATAAATGCTGAAGGCAACTAGGGCACTTGGATGTGGAACTGCCAAGCCTGCCATGTGATGCAGGGCAGAAACACACACAGTACTGTTGCAGCCATGATGAAAGGACCCCAGATAAAGACCTGAGAAACCAGGGCAGCCTCTCAGTTAACCTATGGATGACAGCAAGGTTGTCACATGCCCAATGAAAACAAAAGGTTATCTACCAACCAGAATAAATTCAGGACCTCACTAAACAGCCAGGAGCAGAAGAAAACTTTACACAAAAAAGGATATATCCAATTCAGAGTCAATGCACAGGATTTGCAGTAGGTACTAGGTGCAAGGACCATTGAGTCATACTTGAAAGAAAAATAAGTTAATAGAAACTCGTGCTTGGGGAAAGGGGCAAATCCAGGGAACGACCTGGAACCCAGAAACCCACATGTGGGACAGTGTAAGATGTATCCAGCTAGTACCAGGATGAAAGCTAAAAAGACTACATCCATATGGAGCAATGAACCCACAGGGCCAGAAACTAAACTGCAAAGAGGGTCAGATGGCAGCTACAGATCCTCCCTCACTCTTCAGTAATCCCAGTGCCCCTGTGACCTTTCTCTGGTGCTAAGGAGGAAGGACGTGGGTGATGACAGATAGGGCTATACCAGACGGGGGCAATAACAAGTGGGGTGATAACAGACATTGCGATAACTAGGAAAACCCCAAATGCCAAAACATGAGACTCATCCCGAGAGACAAAAGAATCATTTGGGAAGAGCAGGCCCCCCCCCCCCCTAGCCTCCATCACATATCCAGAGGCTACAGCATCCTAAATGGATATTTTTAGCTTATTTAAAAGGAAGAAACTCATAGTTATTTGTTTTTAATATTTTAAGAAATGCATATACAATAGTGATGTTTCGTGGCTGAAAATATTGGGGAATCCAGGGATTTAAGGGTACCATCCACCCTGCTCTCAATACTGTACAGCATTACTATACTGACTCACTCTTAAGAAGACTATTAAGCATGCTGTCATCAACCGAGCATTACCATAATTATTCCTCTTTATCCACCTTAACATAATAAAAAGACACCACCTTAACATAATAAAAGACATCACCTTATTCATAAACTTATATACAGTACGTATTTGCTTCGTGGTTCAAATGAGGTATTGTGCTTTAATAGAACCTGAAATGTTTTAGGCATTGCTGATTTTATCAGGATTGTCAATTTTTTTCATCATAAACAAAAGCACTGTAGGCTTATCCTGATGGTTATATACATTTCAGAAGCTTCATGGATCAGAATTCATTGGAGAAATAATTTTTTTGTCTGGTGGAACTGATGGCATCGACGGTCCTACTGATGCAGCTGGAGCTCTCACATACTGGTGCTCTTCAGAAATTGGCATCAGGTAAATGAAACATATTTATTTAATTACATTTTTCATTTGTTTATATCTTACAGTATTTATTATTTCCAAATTAAATGGTATATTTAGATTTTCCTTTAAAGCCCAATTTTTAGCAGTTCATATAAGCATTTGCTGGGAGAAATGCCCTTGTTGGCTCCCTGGAAGCTAGCCACCTGGATAGCTCTACACATCCTAAAATCTAAAAAACACTTTCGACAGAGTTCCACATAAAAGGTTGTTCTGGAAACTGGAACATATTAGAGGGGTGACAGGTAAGCTTCTAACATGAATGAAAAAATTTCTGATAGAAAGATGAGGGCAATGTATCAGACTGGAGAAATGTTACAAGTGGAGTACCATAGGGTTCACTTCTTCGACCAATAATGTTCATTGTCTACATAAACAATCTACCAGATGGATTACAGAATTATATGAACATGTTTGCTGATGATGCTAAGATAATAGGGAAGATAAGAAACTTACATGCTTGTCCTGCCCTTCAAGAAGACCTGAACAAAATAAGTATATGGAGCATCACTTGACAAATTGAATTTAATGTGAATAAATGCCACGTTATGTAATATGGAATAGGAGAACATAGACCGCACACAACCTATAAATTATGTGAGAAATCTTTAAAGAATTCTGATAAAGAAAGAGACCTCCCTGGAAACACAAACCGAAACTGTCTCTATTTTCCACTTGTTACAACTTGTAATAAAGTTGTTACATCTTGGCTTAATGTGTTTATGACGTATTAGAACGTTGTTAAAACTTGCTATATTGGTTGTTATAACTGGTTAGGAAGTGTTAAAACTTGTTCGAACGTTGTACCAACGTCGTAGTTTCGGTGTGTGTTTGGCGGGCTAGGAGTGGTTCAAGATAGAAAACTAGCACCTGAGGACCACATAAAGAACAAATCCACAAGGGCCGTGATGAGGGTTCGAACCTACATCCGAGAAGATCCCAGATGTGCCTTAATTGATAGTGCTACGACATGGTAAAAGAAATTTACTCTTAGGTCCTCAACCGTTTTGTTTTGGGCGGCACATATCCGATTTGGTATCCCCAGCTTGACCTCAAGCTAACTGGGCTGCCATCTGGCAGTTGGGTGATATAACTTGTGGTGGTAATAGCCTAACTACTATATTCCTAATATTTTCCTTGCAGTTGTAAGTTTTGGAGCTCTATACCTTTCTGGTAGTATTTACTCTTGGTCTTGAGTTGAGTAATTTCCCAGACTTCCTGTATCTCTTTGAGTAGACCAGGTTCTGGCCTTGGTCTGTAGTGGATACTTATGACTCACAAGGGCCTGGTGGTACATGTGTAGAGCTATCCAGGTGGCTAGCTTCCAAGGAGCCACCAAGGGACCCACGAGAAGGAGGAATTTCATTACATTCAAGGTTCAACACTGGATTTTTTTTAATATCATATATTCATTGACCAACTACTGCTGTCTGCATCACCAGAAAACAGACCGACTCACACAAGATCCATGTGGTAAGACCACATCTCTCATATCTGATGCTTGATTTACCGCATCTTCTTCTTGTCACGTAGACACCACTATTACCCTGTGCATTCTGTAGGACTAGTTGGTCTATGTGTAGGGGCTCATGCTTATGCTTATTATATTTAATTACCAAATCAGTGTTCACATTGAGCATCTCGTTACCATTCTTTACTTCAGCTTTTATTTCAAGGTTTTCTTTTCTGGTGCTGTCAGCAGTTCCTCACCATCTTTGAAATTTTCATTTCCTTCTTTGGGGAGACTTCTTTTGAGTTGACCCTGTGCTGGGTTTTATGTCAGGTCTTGGTCACTGTACAAGGCTTCTTGAAGGGAAGGCCAGTAATTAGTGTACAGTGTATATGTGCACAGTGTACACAGTGCATGCTCATGTGTGCATGTGCTTAGATAAAATAAAAAAGCAATTAGAAAAACTACATAAATCACTGTAGAGGAAAAGAGGACATAGTACAATCAGTTACATGAAGGTTATGTTTATTAGTTATAGTTATAATTAAACAGTATTCCTCAGTACTGAGTTGATCTCTGACACTCATGTGGTCTATGATACAGAGAGGGAGTAAGATGCTTGTCCCTGGAGGGTAGTGTGTGTGTCCTGGATGCCTGTGATAACTAGTCTCATCTTGTCTAGTGTGTCAGCAGAGGGGGAACTACTGAGGTAGGGGCCATAAAGGGGCATTTCTTACTCTCACTGCTGTATTTTTGTTGCCATCAGATCACAAGCACAGGAAGCTCGGGAACAAGGCCTTATTCCAGAGGACTTCCTTGGCATCAATGACTCCTATACATACTTCACTCAGCTGAGTGCTGGTCAGTATCTTCTTAAACCTGGTCATACTGGGACCAATGTTATGGATTTACAAATCATTTTTATTAATCCAAAATAATGAGAGCTAAAATAATATTAATGTATACATACTGTATAAGATTTATTGGTTGGCTTTAACTGTGGATGCATTATAATGTAAAGTAGAGAACCTCATTGTGTGACAATGATGGTTTCTTGCAATGATCATGTGTGCAGTGCAGCTGCATCAGTCTTCAATAAAGTCTCAAACTCTACAACTTCCCTGGTATCTTGGTATCTGTCATATATATTCTAATGTTAAACATGCTACTTTATAGTGATTGTACTGTGTATTATTTTACTGTTGGTTCCTCCTTGTTGTAAACTGGGGGAGCCTGCTAGGGTTACCACAGGTGCAGAGTACCGTCTAATGGGGTTAGGAGAGGCCCAGCCCCCAGGGGAAACAGAACCAGAACCCAAATAAATAATGATGTATGAAAAAAAGACTGCTGTCTAGAACAGATCACCTAACCGTGAACCAGATGGGTGATGGAAATTCCAGCTGAAGTTTAACTATAATTTAATATATTTAATTTAAATTAATTTCTGAATTTAATATAATTAAATTAATCCTAAAACCCCCAAGTGCAACAGAAATACTTTACCATCTCGATCTTACTTTAAATCTCTGACTCGCATAGGCAGATGAGATGAGATCCACATACAACAACCTAGTGGTAAAGTCTACGATTCCTTAAGGGACAAATTTACTTAACCTAAATGCATATAATTATATCAGATACGTGTTCAATGGCGAGTACCTGGAACTCAAGGATATGACTATGGAACACAGGAAAATGTACACTTAAAACCGAAGGGTGGCACGTGGTAATGGTACTTAGTTACACTTAAGAAGTAAGAGTAGGAGAGGAGGAGGGGACACCTAACCAACACGTCCAACCAAGCCCAAAGATGCTGCAGAAGAGAGCCACCTACATCCTTCCCAAGTGGCTCATTGCCTGGCTTTATCACCTGATCATACAGTAACCATTTACTTATCCTCTTATACAATAATTAATTGCCATCATTCAATTCTTAGTATAACTGTAAAAATCATTCAATTCTAGTATAAAGCCTTGATCCTAGCTTTACAATACACTAACAAACTATTATCACAGTGTAACTACAAAACTAGGAGCATCAAAATGCTCTTACGTCTGGCAAGGACGCAATCGAGACATTTTGGGGCAAGCCAGCCTGTATATTAACATACACACATTCCTTCCTTACCCCCAAACCTAACTGACTAGCCCTATCATATAATAATATATTTATTAAAACCTTTTCACCAAATAATATCCATGCATTTAGAGCCTATCATGAGTGAAGGGGGTCCTATTTCATATGTAAACAATTGCTATACGATCCTGGACCATCTGCCCCAGTGCAGTACTGGCCCCAGGGTCATAACACTCTTGAACCGATCCTGCTGCAGTATACACCTACTTGTTGCTCATTATTTACATTTATTTTTTTTGGCAAAATAGTCTAACTTTTGCTGAAATAATTATCCAAGCGTGCTTGAGACTTTTCTGCATCTGGTACAATGATTGCTTTGATTTTTTTTTTTTAAATTGCCTTGATTTTCATGTGATTTGTACAATAAGTTTTTAGTTCAAGGAAAATGAGGCAGAGTAGTGGAATGTACACTAATATAGTACAATTTATATATATAAAATACTGAAGTTAATTCACAAAAATAAACATAATTGGAATACAAAATTCTGACCTTCATTATCATCATTATTATCCTGTTTTCCATTCCTGTTGGGTGGGGAGGTATCAGCCCTAAACAAATTGTAGAGCAGTATTGAAAGAGCAGGTTAAACATACTGTACTCCATAAAACGCCATCTGCACGGTCAAGCTCCCACATATATAGAAGCCAGCCAGCCACCACCAGCAGAATACAGTGCTCATACCTGTTAAACCTGCTGCCACACTACCCTGTGTGGTGATAGATTTATATAGTTTTGCACATAGTATTCCAGCACCATTTATTTTTATCTTTAACGTAACGTTAACTTGTTTGTTTGCTTTTCGTTTTTGCACAGTGTTCAGAGTCAAGACATAGAGGATATATTTTTATGTTATGTAAATTGTTAAATTAATTTTTTGTCATAGTAAAGTATTTAAATTTTTATTCTTTGTACTTTATCCTACAGCTCCCACATAGTGAAGAGATCTACTTAGCAGTTTTATTTACTTTGTCTTTACTTTTTTTTTTAATGTGCGTGGCATTCCATCTGCCCTAATAGCCACTGCTTTATTACCCATTTTACTGTCACACTGTGCAGAGAATGCAGGTGGAGAGCATCAGAATTTATTAATGTTAGATGCTCTCCCCAACAACGAGGGGAGGAAATGACATTGAAATAAGTCCCCAAAGAACAACATCTCAAGGATCACTAAATTGCTGATCTAGAAAGTAGCTGACAAGATCTCCGCAGTAGCCATAATTTTGTATGTGGTACTAGGCAACTGAACCCATGAATGACCTGACCTATTTCCTTGTAGGACACTGTGTATTGACAAATGTTTCATTGTGGATTGATGGGGACAGGAGATGAAGACCACCACAACCAACACCTGAATTAGTACTTCTGGTTGATATACTTTTAGGCCATCATGGTCCAGTCGGTAGTTTGTGTGCCTGAAATGTTCAGAAGTGCATGTTTGATTCCATTGTGTGGCCTTAATATTTATTAATAAATTAATTACAGTCTTGGGATTTTATTGTATATTGATTCTATACTATCAGCAAACAACAGTTTGCTTCATTTTCTTTTAAATCAAGATTCATGGTTTCTTTGCTTTACTCGTACTTTGAGTGACCGTTCTCCATTTTAGGTCAATCCCCAATGCCAATGCTCCCCTCGCCTCTACGAGCACACAAGATTCCGTTCCTGTTGTATGGCCAGCCCTTTCTCTCAATTTGACACTGTACAAAATACAACCACTTTGCGTACCCAGAAGTGTACAAAGACAAACAACCCGCCTATCGAGGCTGATACACAGAAAATGACAATATTACGGCGCTGTAATATTTAAAATACTGTACACCTGTAGACCTGGTGGTATTCAGGTGTTCGTTCCTTCGTTCTTGTTCTCTCTCTCTCTCGTACCCCAGCCTAATGAACTGTGGAGCTAGCGAGAAGCCAGCCTAGAATAAAGTATCTCCCTATTACACCTAGTTAGGTTTGTCAGCTAAGCAGGACTGGTTTTGTACAACAATATTATCAATTAATTTTATACTAAACAAAAATTTGCATAAATGTATAGGCTAGCATTAATAATAAGACTAAGAAATAGTTACATAAGATGTATATTGTATACTCCTATATGAAAATAGATGTAAACTTCACCATAAGGATGTTTAACAACTTTAAGAATACATAAGCTCTCAAATACAAATTTTCAATCGCACTTTCACAACTTTACACTGCAATCTTAGGCTAATCTCATGAAATGCCAAGACATTACGTCTGTTCAAAATCTTGGTGGAAAAAACCATCGTTAACAGTAGAGGTGACTAGCTACCAGCCTCCTGTCCCTTATTTAGGGCACTAGATATGGAGGCCCTTTGGTAAATTCAGGTTAATGTAAATTGAAAAAGTAATTTTGAAATTATTATATAATATATATATATATATATATATATATATATATATATATATATATATATATATATATATATATATATATATATATATATTAGGCTTATATCAAGTTCCTCCCCCCCCCATCCCCTCCCCAATTTCAAACTACTGACCCTTCCCAGGATGTAACCACATAATGAGCTGACTAACTCCTTGGTACCTGTTTACTGCTAGATGAACAGGGGTAATGTACAGGTGATGATTCTAACCATTTCTGTCCTGCCCGGGATAATTCCAGTTATTATCTTGTCTACTAATTAAAATATGCAAACAAAAATATCAAAGTACTATCAGGAAGTTCAAATTCACAAGATCTTTTCCATCACCACTGGTTTTTTTTTATTAATAAAATGCTTAAAATAATAATAATGAATACAAAACAGTACTGGGTTATGTGAGTCACAAATGCAGAAAGAATTATCATAAAAATGTAAAAAGTTTTTAAAAAGTTATCAAACCCATCAAAATTCTGTACTGGTGCAACCAACAGTAACTAGTATATGCAAGGTTGACTTACCCTACACATGGATAGTGACATAGCTATTACCACTATTCTACGTACGGAAACCACAAAATGAACTAAGCACCTGCAGAGAGCGCGAGCACAAATAAATAAACTTAAACTAACCTATTTACCTCTTTTCTATGATTGATGTTGCACCCAGCACATGCTACAACACCACCATAAGTGGGCTTACAATTAACAACTAAAATATTCACTCAACTTGGCACTGGCGTATGGAATGAATATGGCAAGATGAACTAACATTTTCTGTTTCACCTGTGTGACATCCACACTAATGAACACAATTTTGTAAAACATGCTTTAGATATATTCGCATTTTAACCATACATCTGTAGAACTGTAAGATGATCAAATTATCCAAGTACTTCCTTCTATAACCTGACTGAAAATGCTAAATGAACTGTATACGAGGCCAATACAAAAAAATTATTATATATTCTTCCATGACTAAAAGAAAAAGGTAAATGACTAGTTATTATGTTCAAATGCAGTGCAGTATATACATCCTGTCCCATACAGTATTCAAAATTCAATCATTTTTATTTGAAAATGCACTTGTAAATTTTATCAATCATATTTCAAACTAAGCAGTTTTCAAACTTATAAATACTGTACAGTAATTGTGTGAGTGCACACACTTGTGTATTTTTGTTATACAGTATGTGCAAACCAATTGTGAGTTTTTGTTTAATAAATCCCCCCCCCCCCCCAAAAAAAAAAAAAAATTAGAAAAAAAAGTTTGCATGGTCTTCCAATTAAGGCTGAAATGAAAGAATAGAAACACTTTGGAGAAGCTTTACACAGCAGGTTTGGCCCCATTGTGGTTCCTTCCCATATGCTAATTATTATGTACAATAAATTACCAAATACATGTAAACCTTCTTGATAAAATTTATGAAAATTAACAGTGATGGCTGCCATATTGTTAGATGCCTAAGAACCCATATCGTCTTGTAATATATCTAGTAAATTGTTTTTAATTATATACAAGATGGACGCTGAGGCAGACACAAGTTGTAATAGGCTGCTGGATCCCAAAAGTCTGGCCCCTTCCAACCACACCAGCCTTTATTCTGAATTGTGCTGAGGTCTTCAGAGCCTGTATAGTGGGGGTCTAAAATAAGAAAACTTATATCACCACTTTGTGCATTCCAGTCCACACCAATGATTGTGTGAGCAAGAACACCACCTCCAATCATAATTGGGGTTCCCTGAGTCTCAAAATGTATAGAGAGGTCACGTCCTTTGTTAGCCAACTCGGCTCCACTACTCACAAAAATGAATTTTGAGCTGATGTTGAACATACTGTCAAGCACATAACCAACTTCAGTTGACCCAATCCACTGACGTGAACCAAGGAAACTGGACGGTTTATCACTAATGTCCACTAAACATTTCTGAATGTCTGCATGTGTGGGAATAGGTTTCTCAGTGTATCCTTGATACCTAAACCATGACACCAACGTCTGAAGAGACCTATAGGCACACCCCCATTTGTTATCATCAAAACGATTCTGCATATAATGGTGGTACCCATAGGTACCTGGAACAATTCTGACATCCCCATCGACTGTAGAAGGTTTTAAACCTACGTGTGTATTTGTCAATGCTGCCGACTTGCTTCCAGGTGCGGGTGTTAATCGATTTGCTCTTCTCACCATCGGTCGATCAAAAGGAAACACTAAAGCTTTATGGACGGCTTTTCTATAAGTTTCCAAATATCTTTCATCAACATCATCAGGGTATATAACATTAACTACATGGCCAGAAATATAATGCAGAGAGTTTAATGATGTTAGTGTTCCGTGGAGTTTTTTATCCGACAATTGTTCCTTCATCCAAAACTCTGCCAATTGCAATTGTTGAGTCACCCCTTGTGCCAAGAGCTCAGCTACATAACAAACCTGAGTTGATTTTTCTAAATACACAATAGCTTCACCATTAAAAATTGTTGATAAAACAGTTGCATTTCTATTATCAATGCGAATTACTGGAGCATCTGTTAACTCTACTGAACTTCGATTTAGCATAAGCTGGTAAGCAGCTACTTGATGTGAAGTCTTCTTTTTTCCAGAGCCTTTAAACGCTGATCCGACTGTCTCCGTGCCATCGGTGACCGAGCCTCCTAGTGACAATATTCCCTCCTCACTATTCTGTAGTAACAAATTAGAATTCTGTAGCCTAAAGCAAGCTGATGGCGATTCAAGTTGCTCTGTTAAGCTTTGAATCACATTCCTAATAGACGATGGTGTGTTTTTGGAACTAAGGTCAAGGGAAAAGTGAACCTTTGCAAGAATGAAAATTTCATTAAATTCTTCTTGTGATAAAATAATGTATTCTCCAGTAGATACCCCTTGTTCTTCCTGCATGTAAATGTGCAGCTCTTGTTGGTCCCATATGATTGCAAACTGTCCTTCCTGAAAGAAGAAATTATAAATGAGGCAAATGATTATGTATCAAATGCACATTGTCATAATCATTTTCTTTCTAATTATGTATCAACAATTCTATAATTTTAATCTTTTCAAAAAGTTACCACATGGATATTTATTACTTCAATCTTCATAATACTGCACAGAGGAGTAGGATTTTATATTCTTAATAATGTATTTGTTGTGTTTTTGTTAATCACTTACACAAGAATTAAAAAATGACATTCCAGCCTTCCTTTTGAAGTACTCCTTAGTACACTACTACCTGACTTTACTGGTAGTACTTCTGGTACTACTGACTTACTGGTAGTACAGTTCTGGAACTATTCGACTTACTAGTAGTACAGTTCCGGTGCTACCCAACTTACTGGTAGTACAGTTTTGGTACAACCCGACTTACTAGTAATTACCTAAGTGTAGTTACAGGATGAGAGCTACGCTCGTGGTGTCCCGTCTTCCCAGCACTCTGTCATATAACGCTTTGAAACTACTGACGGTCTTGGCCCCCACCACCTTCTCACTAATAGTAGTACAGTTCTGGTGCTACCCAACTTACTGGTAATACAGTTTTGGTACAACCCGACTTAATAGTAGTACAGTTCCGGTATTACCCAACTTACTAGTACAGTAATACAATTTTGGTACTACCCAACTTACTAGTAGTACAGGTTTTCTGGAGTTACCTGACTTTGTTAGTACTTCTGAGATACTGTTGAGGTCATCATGCCTGGAGTCCCAGGAGTCCCCACATTCCTGGGGACTCCAGGAATGTGGGTTTAATCCCACCATAAAGCTGCAATATTTGTACATATTACCAAATACCAAGCAAATCACAAACAAGCACAAAACAAAATTCAAACACTAACCTCTAAAGTTGGCTCGGCATGATTTCCCTTGCAAACTTGAAACCTTCCAATACAAGTGAGAGGTACAGGCAATAGAAGAGAGAGGTCGTGTTTTAGAGCCTCTAACTTTGCGACCAAGGCAACGGCAATCACCTGACCCTCATTTGTGGTTAATCCAAACACCTCTCCTTCTGTTGGATCATGTTGATTTTGTAATCTCTGAAAATATCAGATATATACATGCATTAATTACTATGGGACAAGGCTTAAGTAATGCCTGAAAGTATTGGTTTCCTATTGTAAACTTTTTTCAAAATCATACACTAATACATTACTATCTTTAAATATAGCTTAATCCAGTTTTTATTTATTTAATCACTCAGAGATTCACTACTTTGTTCATCACTGAAAAGCATACCATATCATAAAATGCGCAGTTCTGTCTCTAGAGTAACTGAAGACTCGGCTGAATAATGATCTCTTCTTCAATTATCTTTTGATCTTTTTATCTCAAATTAACTGTACGTCTTAGTTTTTAAGTTTATTTTTCCACATCATGCTCAAAACTGTGTATTTATGCTTTTGGCATAGTATATACAGTACTTGCTCTATCTAGAAATCCAACATTCTGCTTGTAACTCATTTTGTATGTATGTACTTTTCCCTGAATAAACATTATCATTATCAGAAGCTACTCCAAAATGACCTGGAAATGGCACACAAGTGCCCCCTCACCACTTCAAGGTGGTGTCAGGGTTGGGGGTAACTTAAGCTAAGAGAGTCATAAACAACTCTTCGCTGCCCTCCAAATCCCCCTCCCCACCTCCACATGAAGGCTTCATCTATGATGGGCAAATGAGTGCAACATAAAACCCTTTATATACAATATTTAAGGTTTTGAAACATAGGCAAATAAGGTCTTTTTTCCAGTTACTAATTAATTCACCAACAACTTTTAATCTGCTAATGCTTACTCTTTAATTTTCATTGTTGGAAACTGGAAGCCTGTACTTAAGCTTGTATTAAGGTCCCCCACAGATCAAATTCCTGACCTTACCCACAAGATGCAACCCACAATAGTTGCCTAAATCCTGAGTGCCCATTACATCTAGGTGAACAGAGGCATCAGGTAAAATTAAATGTGCCTAACCATTTCTGTCCCTCTTGAAGCTCGAACTTGGGATCCTCAATTATTTAGTTATTAATACTGCATACATGTGAGAAGGTTGTGAAAGAACACATTTTGGTTATTAAGTGGTACACTGTATATTCTTGCACAGCCACTAACCCACATAGTATTTTGGGCAAGTCTTAAAGCTAACACAGAATTTGCATTGAATTTAAAATCAGAAGGTGAAACAGCCAATCTTGAATAAAAAATAAATGTAATGGCAGAATTTGAATTCAATTAATTATTATATTAATTTGACAGTGCTAAAAGAAATTATATATATTGATGTACAGTACTTGTATTTCTAGATGTTAAAATACTTTCTGAGTTAGAAGCACAATGTGAGATTCTATGGTGATAAAATTTGGTACATCATTGTTGTAATTTTGAATAAAGTAAAAGTTGGACAATTTTTTAATTTATTAGGGAGCAAGTTCTGTATATTGGGTCCTTTTAATTGTATGGCATGATTGCATAGATTTATTCCGACTCTGGGTATATCAAAGAGGTTTATTTCTGGTGTGATGTTTATGGGTTCTATTACATCCATCTAGGAAGTTTCAGAACAGCATTAGAATTTAGGAACAGGGTTTTGCAAGTGTAAATAGCACAAGAGAATGTGTGGCGAGAGTACGTTTAGATTTTAACTGAAGGGCTGTGTGCTGTCTGAAGACAGACTTTGTTACACAGTATATCTGATAGCAAATTTGTTATGGGTGATGATGGGCTCGAGGTAGTTTCCAGTGCTGGAACCTCATGCATAGATACTGTAAGTAGGGTTAGATTAATGAGTACAGTGTATGAAGAGCAGATTGGGGGACATGGTATCTGACTTTTGAGAGTATAATAGTTTGGGAGACCTTTTTGGCTACGTGGTGTATGTGAGTATGGAAGTCACGTCTCTTGTTTATGTATAGATGGTGGAACTTTCCCCTCGCTTTTGTATCAATGTTTTGTAGTGTTTATTACAGGTATTTGGTTTGATGATTTGTTTTCAAATAAAATGTAGTTGGTCTTTTTACGATCAGTGTAAGTTTGTTGGTTAACATCCATGAGTGGACCTTTCTATCTCGTTATTTACAATATTAATTAAAGTGAGTTGAACAGATGAAGTTAGTATCAATGGCAACTATTATCTGTATAGGCTTATAAATGTTAGACATTTGGAAAGTCACTGATGTATATGAGAAAGGAGGTCCTCAGATGCTGCCTTGTGGCATTCCTGTGGTTAATGGTTGAGTTACTGAGGTTATGTCATTGATAACTGTGTATTGGTTAAGACATGAATGGATATAGTTCAGAACATGACCTCAAATTCCATAGATATGAAGTTTAAGTAGGAGGTATGTCAGATGTATCCCCCCCCCCCATGAACTGGAGTTCCTCTTACCATTTTTAATATATCAGGAAAGTTTGAGATAAGAGATTTGTTGAAAAGTAGAGTTATGACTGCAAGGACATGAATACCAGTCAAGAACATAGACCACTGTAAACACTTCACCAGAGAACCAGTTTCATTCCTGAGCAGGACAGGTTGGGCCTGTTTCACATTCCTTTCACATTATGCCTCTATAACCCAAGCAGTAAATAGGTTTCTAATTTACTCTAACTTGTCTGAAATGCTATAATGTTAATAGCTTTGCAAGAATGTAATACTCAAATAACCAATGTTTAGTACTCTCACAACCCAATGGACCTTCTTGTAAATAAATAAATACGGTACCCGGGAGATAGTCAACTGTTGTGGGGTTCCTGTGGTTACTTCCTGTGGAGGGTCAGTAGTTCAACCTTGGGGAGGAGGGCTCGGTACAAGCCTAAAGTACATATACCTGGTATACACAGGCTTCCTGTCCCCGACATTAGCCATTATTATTATAGATAAAAAAAAAAAGCTGTACTTGTATTTCTCGACGAGAATTCGGACACTGATAAGGTCCAGATGGTCGTCTTGACTACACTCAACAACCCTCAAGCCTCAACTTTCCAACAATACGTAATGCATTATATTCTTCAAACATTCTCAATAGGAGGTTTAGAGCGCGGCAAGTCAAGCAATAAGAGTGATTATCACCTTGAGCAGCTGTGAGAGGAGACACAACCTCAGCTCCATGTTGACATGTGTGTCTGCCATCTGGCGGTCCACCACACAACTACACCTGACGTTTGGCACCGCGCGCGCTTTTTGAATTATATTGAATAAGTCATTATGTCGGGGACAGGCAGCCAGTGAATATATACATGTAAGGCTTATATCAAGGCCTTCCTCCCCCCCAGGGTAAAATTACTGACCCTCCCCCGGATGCAATCCCACAACAAGGTGACTAACTCCTGGGTACCTATTTGCTGCTAGGTGAACAGAGGCATAAGGTGATAGGAAACGCGCCCAACCATTTCTGTCCCGCCCGGAAATCGAACCCGGGATTCCAGATTGTGAATCTAGACAATATTAACAAAAGTACATTGAATAAATTTTGTCTACGTACACGGTATTTTTTCATAACGTTTTTAATACCCCAAAAATATATCTTATATCATTCATGTGTTTCAACGACTTTGTAATATCTAAAATATATGTAATAATATCTATACAGTAGTCTTAAATATTACGGCATCACCTGTTGATTAATTGAAAACAAATGTAAGAAGGAATTATGAATGACTATTGTTCATACATCGAAACCTATAAAATACTGAACCATTTGGAGGATGTAGATCCAGACAATTTCTTCAAAAGGTCAGATGTAACCCAGACAAAGAGCAACGGGTTCGAGCTTAACAAAGGTCTGCTGTGCAATCCAGCATATTATTATTATCATTCTTCTTTTGTTTTTTCCTTTTTTCAAAAAAAATTATGCTTTTGATCTCAATTGGTATTAGGTTTTAGCATAAGTCTTTTCCCCACACCTTACCCGAAACGCTTTTCAATAAACTTACTTGAACTTGAACTTGGCTTGGGGGTGATGGAGGTCCTCCGGGTGTATGTTCTTTCATGCATTTTTATATGGTATTTATAAGTTTATTTAGTTTCGTGTTTGTGCTAAACGTTTCCTTCCGTCTAAAGTCTGTGACATTACGTTTTGTAAACCATACCCGTTGTGATGCTGGGACGAGTGTATTTTTTTCTACCACAGACGTGGCCACACATTTACAATGCTAACCACCATATATACATTTTCTTCTGTTCTCCATGGACAGGGTGAGAAATATGTTAAACATATAATTCAGGGATTTATTGAACAATCAACCACAGAAGATGATTGTAGTTCTTTTAAAATGCTAACCTAACCTACATACATAAATACATAGATGCACAGAATTACGTATGCCCTACATAACGTGGTCAATGTGTCTTTTACATAGTGTCATTAATGTGCATTTACAGAGGTGAAATTCAATTCTGATCAGCTTCCACATATACTTTATACACATTCATACATATACATACGCACACATGTACATATATATACATACACATATACACACACATACATACATACACATACATTTATGGCTCTCCTGCTCTGAAAGAGTAAGATAGCTGATATAGAAACTAGTGTGTCATTAAGCACTTAATCACTGAAGGTGATTAAGATGCTTTTACAAACTCAGGTTATATAGTTACATCACAAACATTGTATAATTGATACATTACATGGTCAATCTTTGGTACAAGTCCAATATATCATCAAGTGTTCCAGTATTCATATAGTAGTTACAGAGTTCAGCATACCTCAGCCCAGGAGGGCCAAAGTCAGTCAACATTGGACACCAAAGTCAGTCAACATGGGACATGCAACAATACAATTCCACTAGGAGTGTAGTGGAAGAGGTGATGGGGAGGAGAAGACAGGCTGATATCAACGTCTCCTGATAAGCGACCGGATGCAACATCCGGTGTACGTGACTAATTTTTCAGTGTAGAGAGAGAGAGAGAGAGAGAGAGAGAGAGAGAGAGAGAGAGAGAGAGAGAGAGAGAGAGAGAGAGAGAGAGAGAGAGAGAGAGAGAGAGAGAGAGAGAGGGAGAGAGAGAGAGAGAGAGAGAGAGAGAGAGAGAGAGAGAGAGAGAGAGAGAGAGAGAGAGAGAGAGAGAGAGAGAGAGAGAGGGAGAGGAGAGAGAGAGAGAGAGAGAGAGAGAGAGAGAGAGAGAGAGAGAGAGAGAAGAGAGAGAGAGAGAGAGAGAGAGAGAGAGAGAGAGAGAGGAGAGAGGAGAGAGAGAGAGAGAGAGAGAGAGAGAGAGAGAGAGAGAGAGAGAGGAGAGGAGAGAGAGAGAGAGAGAGAGAGAGAGAGAGAGAGAGAGAGAGAGAGAGAGAGAGAGAGAGAGAGAGAGAGAGAGAGAGAGAGAGAGAGAGAGAGAGAGAGAGAGAGAGAGAGAGAGAGAGAGAGAGAGAGAGAGAGAGAGAGAGAGAGAGAGAGAGAGAGAGAGAGAGAGAGAGAGAGAGAGAGAGAGAGAGAGAGAGAAAAAAAAAAATTTGAAGAAAAATTAATAGGAACCCTTTTAATAAAATTTGAGGCATAATTTGAAGATTATTTCTAGGTACATTGAAGTAAAATTTGCATTCAACACAACAACCATGATATAAGATAACAGCAGTGATTACGGCGGTAAAGTTATATGGTTTAGGCACATATTTTGGGGGAGTGGGTAGCACAAGATACAGTGCGAGGGTGAAGCACTAGGCAGAAAACTATGAGGATGAAATTAGGTATTTTTTGGTGTTACTTTTGAATAAAGGATCGGTTGGACAGCTTTTTAATTCGTTAGGGAGTGAGTTCCATAGACTAGGTCCCTTTATTTGCATTATTTACACATTTATTTGAATGTTTACACATATTTAGTTTGACTCTGGGGATATCAAAGATATATTTACTCTTATCTAGCCAAACTCAATATACTTAGCTCTTGTCAATATGGCTTTAGACCCAAAAAAAGAACTAACGATGCACTAATTAGTATGATTAACTTGATACATGCAGTTCTTGATAAAAATGAGTTCCCTGTTGGGTTATTTGTGGACCTGAGCAAGGCTTTTGACACTGTCAACCACCAAAATCTTCTTAAATTACATCATTATGGAGTCAGAGATTACTCCCTGCAATACCTTAAGTCTTATCTTACTGACAGGTTCCAGCATGTTTCTGTGAATAATTCAATTTCTCCCACCCTACCCATTAACATTGGTGTTCCTCAGGGCAGCATACTTTTCCCTCTCCTCTTTCTCATCTACATTAATGACCTTCCAAATGCCTCTCAACACCTCAAACCAATTCTATTTGCTGACAACACAACCTTCATTTACTCCAGTCCAGACCCCCCCCCTTGCTCTAAATGTCACATTGTGTGTGTGTGTGTGTGTGTGTGTGTGTGTGTGTGTGTGTGTGTGTGTGTGTGTGTGTGTGTGTGTGTGTGTGTGTGTGTGTGTGTGTGTGTGTGTGTGTGTGTGTGTGTACTCACCTAATTGTGCTTGCGGGGGTTGAGCTTTGGCTCTTTGTGTGTGTGTGGAAATTCTAGCATGTGTCCTCATAATCAGTCATTCAATTAATAAATACTACTTTGAATAAGTTTATGGCCAAGTGGAAGGAGCAGGCAACACAGTAGCAACATCTGGCATGAACCAGTGGACGCCATAGATTAGTTCAGAAACACTGGTGTGTACGTGCAGCCGCCCGCCCTGTCTCACCGCCAACAGTGTGAAGGTATTGTTCGCTGTTCAATAGTTTTGGCTTGGCTAAAGTTGGAGTCTTTGAATGTGATAGGCTTTGGTGGATGATGCTGTTTGGTGGGTGATAGGCTTTGGTGGATGATAGGGTTTGGTGGGTGATAGGTTCTGGTGGCGGGGGAATTCCGAGGACATCAGTGGACCCCATACCCATCAGCTGGACTTTTTTTGTTTCTACAACAAATACGGCCATTCATTAATACATTGTAAACCAGCATATATATTTTTTGTAGAGAATATACATTGTCTTCTGCCCTCCGTGGACAGCGTCAGAGAGGTATGAGACAACATATAGTGTAGCGAGTTATTGAGCACTCAATCACAGGTGATTAATGTAGTTTTACAGTGCTAACCAACATTTATGCTGGGGGCGATGGGGGGGGGAGGGGGGATATTAGTAAGGCACATAATTATGGGCTCAGGGAGTGAACTACCCAATTCATTTAACTAAGCAAGTTACAGTCTTGATAAACTAGTTACATAGTTCAATGAATATAACAACAATGGGTTCAAGAACACAAGTAACACTCTCTAAACTAAGAGGTTTAGAGAGTGTTGTGTCTAAACTTAACGCGTGGTTCTAAGCCTAGCTTCAGTAACGTCTAGAAGTCTGCTGACATTATTGGATAACCCATTTATTTGTGGCGGCATTCACGGCTGAAGTCACTCACAATTAACGTGTCAACTTTGGATATCTGGCTGGATAGCATGGCTCTTATTCTATAGATTATTCTATATTCTATAGATTATTCTATATTCTATAGATTATTCTATATTCTATAGATTATTCTATAGAGCTTATTCTATATTCTCTGCTCTGAAACTCTCCCTGGACAGATGTAATAGGATCCATTATCACCACACCAGAAATAAATATCTCTTTGATATCCCCAGAGTCAAACTTAATCTGTGTAAACACTCTATGCAAATAAAGGGACCCAGTCTATGGAACTCACTCCCCATTAAATTGAAAAGCTGTCCAACTTTTGCGTCATTCAAAAACAATACTAAAAAGTACCTAATTTCATCTTCATAGTTTTTACCTTTTGCGTTAAAATTGCACTGTATCTATTGCTGCCCAATCTTTCAATCTTTATGTACCCAATCCGAACATTTTTACCAATGTGATCATTGCTGTCGTCTTATATGTGCTATCAATCTGCTGTATGGTGTCTATTAATCTTGTTTAAATTACCAATCAAGCTGTCAATGTAATCAATCAGAGCTTTAATATACCAATGTGCTTTAATATACTTACTAATCTCTTTCATCTCATTTTTTTCTTGCTTTTATCATTCTATTTATTCTGCTAGAATTTACCTACTTAAAATTATCTGTTAGATTAAGGACCTGCCCGAAACGCTGCGCGTACTAGTGGCTTTACAAGATTGTAAATACTATGCTATGTATTCTCACAAACCCAATGTACCTTCTTTTATATAAATAAATAAATAAATAGAGGTGGTTGTCCAAGCATCGACTAACTCGTTTGCTCTGTGTAGAGGGGTGAGGGTGTGACACCTGGCTAATCTTATCGCCTTTAATTCTTTTAATATCCTTCCATGCCTGGCTGGGGGGGGGGGTGTGAGAGTTGAGACTGTTAACGAAAGTTTCCCCAGTTATCTTGCCGCTCCCTCGCCTTGGCTAGGGCTTTCTGAAAGAGCTTGAACATTGTTGGCGGACGTGTTTCCCTATATACAAGTCTAACTCGCCTGGCTGTACGTTTCAAAGTACGCAGTTTAGGGTCATTGTAATGGGCGATGGCTTATATTTTGAGTGGGGAGTCCGTATAAACAATTGGGCCTCTACCCTTCAGACCGAACTATTTGCCTTGCTTCTTGCACTGAAATGTGAACAAGTCTCCAAACTTGATACATTAATTGTAAGTGAATCTTTATCATCCTTAATTGCTTTCAACTCTTTAAGATATAACTGTAACATGTTCGTGTCTGAAGCTAGACACAAATAAAACAAAATTATTAATGGTGGTAACAGAGTCCATTTCATGTGGCCTCCATCTCATGTTGGCCTCTAAATGAATGATAGACCTGATGAGTTAGCCAAAGAATCTGCCTTTAAAGGAGCCGTTGAGTGTAACCTTGGATTGTCAATGAGCAATCTGAGAGCAGCAGTACACCGAGAACTTCAACAAAATCTTGTAGATCTGAGACAAAGTGAAATCGACACCAGTAATTCCATCTATCATCATACTATCATGCAAGAGGAGCCACACATCTATGGTTCATCCAATAAAATCAGCAGACTTCTAGATGTTACTACTGCTCGGCTTAGACTCGGTTACAAGTATCTCTGGGAGTTCTCATTATCTGCTGATGTAGACCTGACCAAATGTAAACTGTGTCAACAAAATTATTCACACACCCTCCGTCAGTATGTGATGGAGTGTGAAAAGATGCATGAATTCAGAGACAACTATATAACAAATGTTCAAGAGATGTGTAAATATTTAATTCAAAATAATCTGCTGCCAGAAGTCATGGCCAAATATCCCCAGTTTGCTAACTGTAGGTAGTAACTAAGTGATTGTAACCTATCCACCGCTGCCCACTGGATGGGGGGCGGTGTGCAGGACAAACATATCAATTGTGACACTAGCTCTCCACATATGTCAGTTGCTTAATTTAGAACCTGTACTTGAGGTCGATCTTGAACCCATTATTGATGAGACGAGTTATACTGAATTTTGTAACTAGTTCATCAAGATTGTAACTTGCTTAACTGAATTAATTGTGGGGTTCAGTCCCTGAGCCCATTATGAGTCCCTGTAACCCTTTCCACTACCGCCCACAAGACGGTTATGGAGTGCATAATAAATGAACTAAACTAACTTCAGATACATATACTGATCGTATGGAGAGTGGAGGCCTGGTTGCCCATTCGAGCGCCCTCGTCAGAATAATAATGGCGGGAATGTGGTGGTTTGTGAAGATGTTGGTCGTAAACGGGCGTATTAGGGTTGTGGAAGGTGTTTAAAGTTGTGGGAAAACATGTGTCTGGGTAACGGGGTTAGGGTGTGAAGGGTTGTAAGGGGATTTAATGGTGTTTGAGTTACGAAAGTATATTTCGACCCTAATTGTTTCTCTGATCATACTTGTATACATATATTGTATGTGGTGAGCATGTCTCCTCTGATCTTCACTCTTCCAGTTACATTCCTTCAATCTCCTCTCGTAACTCATATCTCTCAAGTGTGGGCCTCGGATGGTTATGAGTAATTTTTAAGATTTTTTTCATATTATATCTTTCTATTATATTATACCTCTTATGAATGAATAAGAATCTCAACTTAGTGCAATGTTAATAATGCTAACTCTTAAATATTACAGGTACGATGGCACATGCAACAACATTGATTACCTTCCACTTCTAGAGGGAGAACTATGCGAGGTGAGCGTTAATCCTTTAGCCTTTGTAATACCTAAAAATATTAATATTCTTTAATTCTAAAATATTTTATGTTGGAAAATATTTTCGAGCAATACACTGGGATTGAACTTGCGTCCCGGTTCATCTCAGACGTTTACCTGAACGAGTTCAATTCCATTGCAATGCTCCAAAAAGATTTGCTCATAGACATATCACAATATAGTATTAGAATTTTGTTGTGCATTAATATTTTTCCTTTAATGTTTGTCTGTCTATATATAACTATAATCTGTGGCAGCATTGTGCGTATATTATGTAATTATAATATTCTTATTACTAATAAATTTGTATTTTCATCTTTAGAAACGTAAAGGGGGTATACAAGGAAATGAAAAATCCCACCATCTACATGAGAACACTCCGAGAATATGCAGTCCAGACGTGACGATGACCAAAGTCACACAACCTACATCAGACCAGCCCTAGAGTATGCAGTCCCGACGTGACGATTATCAAGGCGCGACCACCTACATCAGACCAGCCCTAAAGTATGCAGTCCAGACGTGACGATCACCAAAGGACCCACCACCTACATTAGACAAGTCCTAGTGTTTGCAGCTTCAACGTGGATTCGCTGTATATTTTGAATGGACACCGATGTTGGACTATAAATATATATATATATATATATATATATATATATATATATATATATATATATATATATATATATATATATATATATATATATATATATATATATGACTGAAAACTCAATATGACATATTCAGTCGCATATAGTCCTGGGGACCATTCAGGCTTGTTCGCATATATATATATATATATATATATATATATATATATATATATATATATATATATATATATATATATATATATATATATATATATATATGTAGATTTAATTATGTGATTGCTAATATCGTTATTATATGATATGTCTCACCTCTCACTGGCTAATATATGTTTAACTAATACATATGTAACTAATACATATTTAATTTATGCATGTTTATACAATTTATGTACTCTCAATATATTATATTTTTTAAAATAAATAATTCATAAATAATATATAAATAATGCATATTTAAAAAATGCATGTACTCATTATTTTATATTAAAAAAAATAACAAATTCATAAATAAATAATATATATATTTAACTAATGCATATTTAACAAATATATGTACTCTCAGTATTTTATATTTTAAATAATAAAATGTAATTATCTTCATTAAAAAAAAGAGATATTTCAGGCACCTTTGTTGTGAACATACTTGTAATAATTGATTTTTTAGACTGGAAACTTTGTAAGTATTTTATTTTGGAAGAATGTTTAGTGTGTTTATCGTAATAAAAGTGTGATTTATAATTTTTTTGGTTATAAATATAGTATTTTAATTTGTAGGGACATTTTAAGTCCCTTTATTGTGTTTTCGTAATAGTACATTTATTTTTATACAAAATTTAAATGTATTCATTTTGGGACATATTAGGTCACTTATATTTATTATACGCTTCTGTGTCTATGACTAAATATTCATATGACTATATTATAGACTTGTTTGGCACAGGAGCGGGGCTGAAATATTGTTAAAAGTAACAGTATGATAAAAACTGTATTGATGACCCCAGTGTGTATTAACTTGGTAGCTTTAATTATGTTACATTTTTGCCTTGTTTACTCCCTCCACAATGTCATATTTAACTTTATTACTGATTTCTTGTTAATTGTCATTTGTAAACTAGTGTTGGTGAGACATATGTGCATCCTGTATCTAAGTGATGCTACCATTATTACTATGTTCTGTAACAGTATACCGGAGATATTTCACGGTACAGTCATTCTTGTAACTCTAGAGGACACATTATATATCATCAGTGATAGAAATAAAGTTGGGAGGTTGAGTATACGCAAGTATAGTGCGTATACTTTCCTCTCAATTTCCAGGTGTTTTTATGTCCAATTACTGTATTATGGAAGACATTTATTAGCTATCCTTTGTCAAGTTTCTACAAATTAAAATTACTCATTCAGTACATCCTGGGGAGGGTCAGTAGTTCGACCTTGGGGAAGGCCACGATATCAGCCTTAAGTAGTTAGTTTAGTTCATTTATTATGCACCCCATACCCATCTTGTGGGCGGTAGTGGAAAGGGTTACAGAGGCACATAATGGGCTCAGGGACTGAACCCCACAATTCATTTAGCTAAGCAAGTTACAATCTTGATGAGCTAGTTACAAAATTCAATATAAGTCGTCACAACAATGGGTTCGAGATCGACCTCAAGTACAGGTTCTAAATTAAGCAACTGACATATGTGGAGAGCTAGTGTCACAATTTATATGTTTGTCCTGCACACCGCCCCCCATCCAGTGGGCAGCGGTAGATAGGTTACAATCACTTAGTTACTACCTACAGTTAGCGAACTGGGAATATTTGGCTAAAATTTCTGGTAGCAGATCATTTTGAATGAAATATTTACACATCGCTGGAACATTGGTTATAGAATTGTCTCTTACTTCACGTATCTTTTCGCACTCCATCACATAGTGACGGAGGGTGTGCGAATAATTTTGTTGACAGTTTACATTTGGTCAGGTCTACATCAGCAGATAATGAGAATTCCCAGAGATACTTGTAACCGAGTCTAAGCCGAGCAGTAGTAACATCTAGAAGTCTGCTGATTTTATTGGGTGAACCATAGATGTGTGGCTCCTCTTGCATGATAGTATGATGATAGATGGAATTACTGGTGTCAATTTCACTTTGCCTCATATCTACAAGATCTTGTTGAAGTTCTCGGTGTACTGCTGCTCTCAGATTGCTCATTGACAATCCAAGGTTACACTCAACGTCTCCTTTAAAGGCAGATTCTTTGGCTAACTAATCAGCTCTATCATGCATTCGGAGGCCAACATGAGATGGAGACCACATGAAATGGACTCTGTTACCATCCTTAATAATTTTGTTGTATTTGTGTCTAGCTTCAGCCTTAAGTATATACTGTATATACAAACATGAACTAACTAGATTCTAATACCAGAAACGGTTGACTTCTGAGCCTATTGGGCTTAGGCTCAGGAACCTGTACACCGGTTGACTGATGGTTGAGAGGCGAGACCAAAGAGCTGAAGCTCAACACCCGCAGACACAGCTAGGTGAGGAGCCCACAACTGGGCTAACAACACAGTAAACTAACAAGACGGCGGGTTACATCCTGAGGAGGGTCACTAATTCGACCCTGGGGAGGACTTCGATATAAGCCACACATGTACTGTATGTATAAATTGGCTGCCTGTCCCCTGACACAATGAAATATTATTATTATAAACTGGTTGCTTATCTCCCGACTCAATTAATTAATATTATGATATATATATATATATGCAAACAAGCCTGAATGGTCCCCAGGACTATATACAACTGAAAACTCACACCCCAGAAGTGACTCGAACCCATACTCCCACAACTGGTATGTACAGGGACGCCTTAATCCGCTTGACCATCACGACCGGACATAAGGAAGTGATAGCCGAGGCTATATGAACCACTTCCCCGCCGGCACTCGGATGGTAATCTTGGGCATAGCATTTTATCAAATCACCTCATTCTTTGGGGCACACGTGAGGAACACAAATGCAAACAAGCCTGAATGGTCCCCAGGACTATATACAACTGAAAACTCACACCCCAGAAGTGACTCGAACCCATACTCCCACAACTGGTATGTACAGGGACGCCTTAATCCGCTTGACCATCACGACCGGACATAAGGAAGTGATAGCCGAGGCTATATGAACCACTTCCCCGCCGGCACTCGGATGGTAATCTTGGGCATAGCATTTTATCAAATCACCTCATTCTTTGGGGCACACGTGAGGAACACAAATGCAAACAAGCCTGAATGGTCCCCAGGACTATATACAACTGAAAACTCACACCCCAGAAGTGACTCGAACCCATACTCCCACAACTGGTATGTACAGGGACGCCTTAATCCGCTTGATCATCACGACCGGACATAAGGAAGTGATAGCCGAGGCTATATGAACCACTTCCCCGCCGGCACTCGGATGGTAATCTTGGGCATAGCATTTTATCAAATCACCTCATTCTTTGGGGCACACGTGAGGAACACAAATGCAAACAAGCCTGAATGGTCCCCAGGACTATATACAACTGAAAACTTACACCCCAGAAGTGACTCGAACCCATACTCCCACAACTGGTATGTACAGGGACGCCTTAATCCGCTTGACCATCACGACCGGACATAAGGAAGTGATAGCCGAGGCTATATGAACCACTTCCCCGCCGGCACTCGGATGGTAATCTTGGGCATAGCATTTTATCAAATCACCTCATTCTTTGGGGCACACGTGAGGAACACAAATGCAAACAAGCCTGAATGGTCCCCAGGACTATATACAACTGAAAACTCACACCCCAGAAGTGACTCGAACCCATACTCCCACAACTGGTATGTACAGGGACGCCTTAATCCGCTTGACCATCACGACCGGACATAAGGAAGTGATAGCCGAGGCTATATGAACCACTTCCCCGCCGGCACTCGGATGGTAATCTTGGGCATAGCATTTTATCAAATCACCTCATTCTTTGGGGCACACGTGAGGAACACAAATGCAAACAAGCCTGAATGGTCCCCAGGACTATATACAACTGAAAACTCACACCCCAGAAGTGACTCGAACCCATACTCCCACAATTGGTATGTACAGGGACGCCTTAATCCGCTTGACCATCACGACCGGACATAAGGAAGTGATAGCCGAGGCTATATGAACCACTTCCCCGTGAGTTTTCAGTTGTATATAGTCCTGGGGACCATTCAGGCTTGTTTGCATTTGTGTTCCTCACGTGTGCCCCAAAGAATGAGGTGATTTGATAAAATGCTATGCCCAAGATTACCATCCGAGTGCCGGCGGGGAAGTGGTTCATATAGCCTCGGCTATCACTTCCTTATGTCCGGTCGTGATGGTCAAGCGGATTAAGGCGTCCCTGTACATACCAGTTGTGGGAGTATGGGTTCGAGTCACTTCTGGGGTGTGAGTTTTCAGTTATATATATATATATATATATATATATATATATATATATATATATGTCGTACCTAGTAGCCAGAATGCACTTCTCGGCCTACTATGCAAGGCCCGATTTGCCTAATAAGCCAAGTTTTCCTGAATTAATATATTTTCTCTAATTTTTTTCTTATGAAATGATAAAGCTACCCATTTCATTATGTATGAGGTCAATTTTTTTTTATTGGAGTTAAAATTAACGTAGATATATGACCGAACCTAACCAACCCTACCTAACCTAACCTAACCTATCTTTATAGGTTAGGTTGGGTTAGGTAGCGGAAAAAGTTAAGTTAGGTTAGGTTAGGTAGGTTTGGTAGTCGAAAAACAATTAATTCATGAAAACTTGGCTTACTAGGCAAATTGGGCCTTGCATAATAGGCTGAGAAGTGCGTTCTGGCTACTAGGTACGATATATATATATATATATTAGTCAGTCATGTTAAAGAGGTATAATTCCGTTTTCTCATGAAATAGGAAAACGTACTTGACACTACAAGTCAAGGCATACTATTGTTTTCTATATCAAAATACTGTAACAT